TGTTTGAGCACTTAATCGGCTGCTTGCACTGTATGCTTCTCGGGAAGCTGAGAATGTTTCAGAGTGTTCTATGGTCTGCTGGGGTAATAATATAGTGTAAAGCGCATAGAGCCTGCTGTTGAGCGGGGATATGCGCTATACAAATGCTGTCTATTATTATTATTTATTATTATTTTTGGTACAGCACTAACATAGCCCCAACCAACAGTATAACCACAATAATAACAACATTCCTCTGTATTTTTTTTTTTTTCAGTTTATGATAATATAATATTATCACTAGATCAACACATTACTTATCTCTTTTTCACTCTAAGAAGGCATGTGATTTCCGGCGGTTGAACAGTCAGTGAGCTCAGCCTCAAATAGAATGTCAAACATAAGTCAGTGATACAGAGTTTAGATAAGTGAAAACTATGGTGTTCCTTTGAGCAAGACATGATAGCCCTTTTTCAAAAACAGGGTGCTGTGCAGTGGAGACCAGGAATGACATGTTTTCGTAAGAATGTCAGTATTGGTGAGATATCGTTTACTGTATGGAACTGATGAATTTTTGTAACTATGTACTGCTACAGGACCAGTTCCCCTCAGAGATCAGTAAAAGTGCTGTTTCATCATTTAAGTAAGGTCATTTGACTTTTCATACACTGTATAAATCTTACCAATCACTGTGTTAGGCTCCGATCCAAAGGCACAGATACAATGGGATCCACCAGGAACTTGGAATTTAGAAAAGCTCCACTTCGAACTGAAGTATTTGGGCAGGAAACTGGCAGACGCAAGGCTGCGGAAAAGATCAAAATATCTTCAATGTAAACAATGCGGACTACAACAGGTAGAACAAAAAAAAGAAGGAAGTTCAATTAATACGACCTTCCCTCCAAGCAATAAATCAGCTCCAGGGCAAGGGCTATCCACAGCATACCCCCAAGTTAAAGCTAAAACTTTTGTCCCTCTTCTTGATTCATGATACAAGTAATAGCCATAACAAAATAATAATGAATGAATGAAGAATAATTAAGAGGGGAAAAAAGTAATCATTAAAATAGTCATAATTTAATAAAAAGCCCCAAAGAAAATAAACCTGCCCCTTTAGAACTGCAGTCAGTTTTTAAAAAAGTTTTAGCATGAGTTTTACGGCACTTGCAATACAATAAGAGCACATACGAGCCGAAGAATAGATGTGTTACAAGCGAGAACATACACAAAAAATCAGGAGGAGAGATAAGGACGACAGATGTTTGATAGGAAATAAGGAGCTAACCACACCAGAGCAACCGCCAACCATCCACGAACTACAGTCAAACCTGTCCAGGATGACCACCCATTATCAAGGAGAAAAGCGGTCATCTCAGAAAGGTGGTTCTCTTGGAAAGTGTCATAAGGACAAAGGTAAAAACGCTACAGGAGATGTGGGATGTGGCTGTCTGTACAGGAGATTATCACCGATAGAATATATTAGACTGTTTTTATTAAGTGGTAATCATAATCTATCAATTTAAGGCTGCTCACATACTATTATCACGAGGATCACAAATCTCACCTCAATTGCACAACAGACCTAAATCATCATTCCCCCCCTCCTCCCTCAACGGGTTATTTCATGAGCTGTAATATTTGTTTGTATCGTCTCACACAAAAATCAACCTGATATTCTGAGAGGGGATATAAGCACAATCACAAAAATGTATGGGTTTTGTGGGTTTTGAAAGATATTCTGTTCCTACAGTCAGTGGAAATATGGTCAAAATAGTGCGGCACGGGGTGCTTTCAGCCAGATTTGGGTGCGACTGGAATGAGTTATAGGCTAGAGAAACTCCTTTGTTATGTCGCTGCTGAGTTTTTACGCCTCATGTCCCCCTTTCTTTGCTGAGGTTATAGAAAAGGCTCATATGTGAACAATCCCCCACACACATACACTTATACACACACAAATACGCTCTCACACTGACACAAACACCCATACAATCACATTCACATGCTATCTGACACAATACAATAATATGGGGAAGCTCTTCAAGTTCTGTCGTCAGTCATCTCCAAAAACTGTGCATAAACGTCCCTTGAGCATTCTCCTTTGGAGTTGAACATAAACCTGTAGTAACTGCCATCAGCACAGACCACTGAAAATAATGGATGAGTGAAAATAATTTCAAAGTAGTTGAACATCTCAACTTAAAAATCTGCAAAATTTGTGATCTGTAACAGATAACTGATATAAACCCTGGAAAAATAAATTTCTGCCTCTCAGTTTCAAGCATTCAAAAACATAATCAGAAATTATCTAGTTCCTGAGTGTTGGGAAAATGGATAAGTTGATGGGATAGGTAGAATTTGACAATGGTTTCCAAATCAAATAACATTCAGAAGAAATGAAAACAGTTTATCTAAGAGAACGAAATTACCAAGAATTTATCATGATAAACTAAAGTAATTTGTTTATGCCCATACTCTGTCTTACCACCTTGTTGTGTCCTTGGGAAAGGCACTTTACACGAATTTTCCTCACTTCACCCAGGTGGGAATGGGTACCCGGCTATAGACAGCGAAAGATCTTGTCAGATGGTTAGTGTTTGAGCACTTAATCGGCTGCTTGCACTGTATGCTTCTCGGGAAGCTGAGAATGTTTCAGAGTGTTCTATGGTCTGCTGGGGTAATAATATAGTGTAAAGCGCATAGAGCCTGCTGTTGAGCGGGGATATGCG